TTTAAATAAATTTATCACCTTCCATTTCAAAACAGCCCACAAACGGCCGAGCGGTAAAGTCGCTGAATATTGGTAGTTCTCTCCGAGGTCAAATCCCGGCAAACAATTTGGTTGCATGACCGTTTTCGGGTTTTTTCTCATGTGTAACGTGTATACCAGCTGGTTTTTCTTATAAAGTTCTTCACAAAGGCATCCTTCCTTTTAGGCAGATAGCTCTGTTTTGCCATAACTTAATAATCCAATTCAATCCATTTTGTCAGAATTTGGTCAGAGCCTTTATCAGTCTCTAGAGGCTAAGCATTTTGAATGCATGAGATGAAACAAAAGACTGGTTTCAGCAAGAGGGAAAAGAATTTAGATGATATCCATATACGTTTTAGAGACATTAGAATTTTTTGGAAACAGGAAACTTGAAAAATGAACAATTGCAGGGAAACGAACCACGGACCTCTCAAGTATGTGTTGAGCATGCAAACCACTACACTACGGAGGCACGCTAAGAAGGCAGGAGAAATACCTAATATACTACCCGTATGTACTTTTAAAGAGCGACTGGAGATTAGGGAACCCTGTCACCAAATCCTGGTGGTGAAGAATCATCTTTCACCACCTTTTAGTTCAGGCACCACTGTAGAGACATTAGGTGTTTTGGAAGGGGGAAGCAGGGGAAATGAAAAATGAACAATGCCCTCACCGGGAGTCGAACCACGGACCTCTTGAATACGCATTGAATGTGCAGACCACTACACCACGGAGGCGCGCTAAGAAGGCGTGAGTAATACCTTTTAACATCACTGGATAAAATTCCTGAATCTTCAAATAATTCGACTGAGAAATCATGGGGTGTTCCTTTTATGATACCATATGATGTTCTATGACATAATTCAAATTTATACAACCATACAGTCGAAAACCAGTCGCTCTTCAATTTAAACTGCAACGCTATGGTTTCTGTCTTTTCCATTAGTTACTAACTCAATTGCTTCTATTTGCTGGTGTGCACGTCCAAGTGTTTTCTCTTTGAACACCCGACTTCATTAAAGTAGATTCCTCCTTTAAATTTTTGCTTTTCGCCCCCTAATTTCTTTCTTAACTTCTACATATGTTTTCAGTGATGACACAAGGAAATGAAGACTTTTCAATTGTTACACTTCCATAAATTTTGTATTCTTGTCAAATTTTTTAAAATACCCGTTGCATCAAATGCGTTTCAGCTGAAGACTGCTTTTCATTTTCTCGACATTTTAACTAAAACTGACCTTTACTAAAAATATGCCAAAGAGTATTGCTTCTGCCTTCTCTTCATGATGTTTCAGATATGTGATATTGTTTTGTCATTTCACGCAATGTTGTTATGGCTTATTGAGCTGTTGAACTTGGATTACTTTTGGCTGTGTCTTGGCAAATTTCAACTTCTTTTATATTTTTAGTATATAGAAATGAGGTCTTTCTGTTCCCTTTTAAAATAATAACTACAGTGGACATTGCTTAAAGAGCATAATTTGTTCCCATGTCTTAGTTGTTATGTGAAACACTAATTAAGCAAAATAATCTTGTCTATTGTAATCTATGTAAAATAGGATAATGCATTTTATTCTGATAAAAAAATTAATTTATAATGGTATGTGGACAATATGCTGCATTGATGGTGCAATTCCATGCAACTGGTGTTGGTTGCATTTGTTAAGATTGTGTATTAATTACTGCATATAAAACAAAATGACATTTATTATGAATGTATGAGAAGTTCTAAAATAATACTGAAGGCGTAGAAATGATTACAGTCCTCATTATGTGAAGATCTTCCTAGTGGCAAGAGTCTCTCTAATTAAGAGTTTAGGAGCATTCCGAGTTCTTGCCTTGTCTGAAATAGTTTGCAGACTGAATTAGTTGTGCCTTCTTAATTTCTTGTTGTAATTTACATTCTGTGACTCATTCTAGTTGAAAAGATATCAGAGGAACAAGAGGATCATTGGTCACCAAAATTCTTGAAATTTAGAGGCTTTGGTGACAGACACAGTGCAGATGGCTCAAATACCTTGGCACTGACAATGAATTTATGATTCTTGTAACATCAGGCGGAACCATAACTGAATGAATTATTGCTTCTCCTATGTCAAAACCTGTCATCTCGTTTCTTGTAACAGTTCAAGCACTGCAACCTATGGGGGGGCTACATGAATTTCTTATCTTTGTGTGGTCCACTGCAGTAATGATGTAATTTATTATTTATAATACATTCTTTTGCTACAGAGTTGTCTAAAGACATATGTTTTTGCCTATGCTTCAAAATTTTGAAAAAAAAATATTAAATAAATTTATAGCATGCATAGCTATTGCCTCATTATTATGGGGATATTTCTGAAAATATGATTCGACAATTTCCTCTGCTTCTAGCCGAGATGCAGGTAGGATCCTGCATACGACATCACAGTGTCTCCATGTCACTCATTCTGTGAAACTGCTCATTAAGAGAGTATTTTTTTTTTACATTTTGTTTTGCTTTCTATATGAATCTGCATTATTAGAGGTGCTCTCCTTAAGTGAGGTTTGACTGCACATGATTTATCATAAATCATTCGGGTATAGAAGTACTTCCTTCATTTACAGTTAGAACAAATTTCCATTTTTTACACAGTAGTTGATGATTTGTACAAAAAGTTGTATGTATGATTTTATATGCTGCTTCAAATCTTCAAAGATAGTGATTTCTTTCTTTTTGCTTGTTAAAAATTCAAGTCTTTATTTATTATTTTATACATGATACGGAAAGATATTTTAAAAGCTGATATTACTTATCAAACAGGTGGTTCCTGTTTTAGAAACACAAATTGAATTTTTGAAATGGTCTCTGAAGTACATACCTGTTTTGCATATAAATATTTCATATTCTATTGGCTGTAAAAAGCTGCAAGTTTTTTCTTCTTTGATATGAATTATATTTTTCATTGTATCATTATGTATTTTAAGATTCCTTTGGTGGTCTTTTATTAAAAACTGAGACCATTTTTTCTAGAAAAGTACAAATATGTAGCCTTCGAATTTAATTTATCATTTACTTCTACACTGAATTCATAAAAAATTTGACAAAAACAAGTAGTGATTTATAACTCGGATAAAAAGCTGTTACTGTGATTTTTTTATATACTTTATTAATTTCATCACTTGCTTGCTTAAGATATTAAAAAAATGCTGAAACAACCTGTGTATTTTTTATCTTTGTCCACAAAGTTTATCAATATTTTCTTATTAGATTTCCTTGTGACTGCCACACTTAGTTATCCAAATGGGCATATCTCTAATCAGTAGATCTACAGCATGCAAATTTCAACTTTAGCCAATGGTGTATGTCGTAGTTACTTCAACAAAGAAGTACTGGTTATTCTTATTGCTTACAATAAAGTTTTAACTTTATTATGATGTTTTGAATAAATTTAAACTCGGCATTAGTGTGCTTCAGTTTACACTTTTCAAAATTACTTTTTCAAAATAATAATAATAATAATAAACATGCTATCACGTTATTATTTGGTGTATGTTCACTGAAAATTTGCAGCTGATTCAGTATTTGTTAACCATAATAATTCTTTTATGCGTTTTGTTAAAGATACAGCATTGATACCATATAACTAGCTACTCATCTTTAAAAGTTATTCATACATGTCACATGAGCTATCATCTTTTCTTAATACACAATGAAAATGGTCAGGCATTCAGGTCTACTCTGATCAGTAGCTTTTTCTAGTGTATAGTAACCATCATCTACTCGTCGCTTACCATGAATCTGCTTGATCAAGTATGTGATGAAATGAGGCATGAAAGAAATAACATAAAGCTAACTGTTGATAAAAATAAAATGTCACAAAGTTACCAGTAATTTATTACATCCATGAGTACCAAATAATGTTTCCCATTTTATTTACTATTTAGAACTTTCTCTGTCACAATCGTATAAGCTCTTAATTCATACTATTAAATCTTTTTCTTCAATATTAAATTTATTGCTTCCATAATAAGAAAACCACCTTGGCACAATTTAGAGATTTTTATAGATGAAAATAGGTAAAAGTTGCATATTTAGCATTTTTTATGACTCCTTTTAAAAAAGATTGCTAAACTATTGATATTTATCGTAAGTGTGCAGACATTATGAACTTAGAAAACACACTTTTATCATTTGAAATATAAATTTTAATTATTAAGTAAGAATTAATAAATTATATGATGTATTAAAAAATTAAATGTTTACATTTTTTCCAAGATCCTTCTATAATTCTTTCATGCTGTTCTCTCCATGTATGCAGTGATATGTTTTTGCTCGAAAAATATTGGAGAATTGTATAAACTTGCCATAGCACACTTGCTAGCTACCAAAAGCATCTCATCATTATTCCCTTTGGTGATTTTCCAGCTAAATACTATATTTCTGTAGAAATGTTACCTTGTTCTCTTGCACCGCTGGCAAATTTCGCAAGCACATATTTTAATATTGATTTTAATGCAAAAATGTGCATGATTTGTCAACAAAAATTGTTGGAACTTGGAATAGGGGAAAAAAAGAGAATGCATACAAAAATGGCAGTGTTGCTTGAATAAAGGATTGTTATGATTCATTGGTTTGCTGAAGAATGGTTTATGTGCATGGTTGCCATTTGTTGAACACATTCTGAAAATTTGTGACTTTTGCTGATGTGGTAGCAATAATATAAGTACCTAAAATTACATCACTGCAACAATTATATCATATTAAATTTTGTTATATTTTTATCAAGTATGGAAAAGTATGACTTTTTTTTTTTTTTTTTTTTTTTTAAATGTTAAAAATTGTCACAATCTGCAAAGAACTTTGTATTTAAAATGCTTCATAAATTTTATAAATATTAACTTATAATGCAAGTTTACAATTTGTAGCTCTAGTAAAATTAGTTAAATAAAGGTTATAGTTTTTTTTAGTATTGTAATTTTTATTGTACATTTCTTTTTTTTTTTTTTTTTTTAAGCATTAGTTACTAGCCAGCCGATCAATTTGAAACCTTCTAAAGTGGTAGCTGGTCATGATCCACAGAAGACTAATGTTTTTCTTCAAATCTTAGGAACAGCAGTGAAAAATAAGGTATTGAATGTTTATTTATAGTATGACTTCAAAGCTAGAACAGCAGTACTAAAGTATTAGCTAATTTTATTTTAAGAGAAAATTCTTTTTATTTTAGTCCAGTTTTTAGTCTAAAAGGAGAATTAGTCCAAATGGGCTATTAGTCTCAAAACAGGAATTTGTGTTGAATCACTATAAACAGGGTATCACTTTTCAGATTGTTGTCACTGTTGAAAATCAAGCATTTAATTAATATTATGAGCAGTTTCAGTGTCATCATTGTTTTATTGTTTTAATACGTTTTATGCATCTGACATCACTATTATTTTCATCATTCTAAAAGTTGTCATGTAAACAATAAGACATACGTAAACTCTCTTCACTTTTTTTGTTAATAAAGTCCAAAATTCAATTAGCCATCACTCTGTTTGTTAATTTTATAACAGGTTAGGGGTTTTAGCGATGTTTAACTGTGCAAATAAATTAACAATGGCTATGTTGACGTATTTGAATCACGGATATTTCTTACTTTCGTTTTCGATTTCAACACTTCCACCTGAACAGTGTGTAGGTAGATGCTACAGTGTACCAATATCCTTTTTATTTTGCTGCATATTTCCTGGTTAATGACAATGTAATATGGAAGCTAAAAATTTTGTTCAGTGTACCAAATTGGAAGGGTTATCCAACTGGACTGATTGGAAATTTGAAATATACTATTTATTTGTGCTCAACGATTGTGTGGGCATCTTCGATAATTCTCTTATCGAGCCAAAAGCTCTGGCAGAAAGCACAAATGAAAAAATGATACGCGAGTACAACGAAGCCGCAAAGGCGAATGCAAAAGCTGCTGTGATCATTCACAGAAATGTATTCCCGAATATATTAAATTTGATCTGTATGCATGGTAATTCTGCACTAGCAATATGGAATCAGTTATTAAGTAATTTTGAGAAGGTGTCAAGCATGAAATTGGACACTCTTCTGCAACAGTTTTTCACTTTTCGGATTGAGAAAGACGAAAGTGTAATGCAATCACTCGCACGTTTACGTACACTGTGGATCTTCAACATGAGCAAGAGTTGAGCGGTGAAGGAAAGTTCCCGTTTTGAACTTGCTAGCACTGCGAATCTTATCTATTCTTCCTGATGACGAATATATCGAGTTCAAATCACTGTGGGACTCAATGCCAAAGACAAAAAAGTCACCTGAAAAACTGATCAAACAGATCAACATGTGGCTGCAAAGAAGAAATCAAGGGCTTAGAAACGAAAGTACGATAACATTTGTGGCAAATGCTAATTATAGCGCAAAACATAGTGGAAAGAAATGGAAGAAGAGTGGTAAGAAACCTCAGATGGTCAGCCAATCCCAACCCTTGACAACAAATAATGCCAAAACAATGAACAAACTTAGTAAGACCAGTGATGGTGTGAAAGGTTTCAATGGCATCTGTTTTCGTTGTAATAAATTCGGGCACATTGGTAAATTTTGTCCAGTTTTTCCTGACATGCCAACCATGACGAATGGCAAAACAGAGACCTCCTTTGCAAATACTCAATGCAGTGCATTTGCTTTTCAAGAAGATGATTGTGGCCAAAATGTGTGGCTTAAAGACGATGGAGCTACAGCACACATTACAAATTCAGCCGAGTATTTCGAGACGTACCGTCACTTTGACAAACAAGCAGAAATCACAGTCGGTAACACCCCCCCCCAACAGAATATCTGTGATATATTTTTAGTATATCTGTGATATATTTTCAGTTGGTTTTAAAAGTATTTATTGTGGATTGAGGTTAAGATTTTTAAGACTCTCTCCATTTTAACCTTTTCCAAAGTTCTTAAACTGTTTCTTTGTCTAGATTATATATGCTGTATATGATTGTATTTAATAAGATTTAAAAAATTTCAAACTGCTGTTTATTCTGTAATGTGTATTCATTTTATTAAAATGATTGTATGGGAACTACCAAGTAGATTATATGGCATCAATGAATATGTCAGTTAATATATTTTAGTGTAAAGTGCAGTGGCTGTCTACTTTTAGGAAAATTTTAGATCAATTCAACAAGAACTGAAAACCTCCATCTATAATTTCAAACAAGATATATATTGATGAAAGTTACTTAAATAAATGGAATAGGGTACAAAAATATTGCATATAATCTCGCAGAATTCCATGTTTTTAAAATATTTTGGTACTTAATAGCCTTTGGTTCTGATTTTAAATGTATTAGCATTGTTTCATTTCACTGAAAACTTATAAAAATACTATTTCTAGTATTGTAAATGTGTACTATGTGAAATATTGTAACATGTTTATCATCAAATCTAATGTTGTTTTATGTATTTTCTGATCATTCCCATCCCTGTCAAAAAATTGTGAAAATATTTTAATGAAGCAATGCAGCATGTCACAAAAAAGTATTAATGTAGCAACCCTTGCTTGTATGATTATGGGTGTAACACATAATCACACAAGCTTTTGAGTGCATGTGGATTTGCACTTTTGAAGTACAGCATTCTGATTAGTATTTTTTTTTTTTTTTTTTTTTTTTTTTTCCATCGAGGCCTTACCAGTCCCAGAATGTTCAGTTAAGGCTACTGAAAGCTGGTAATTTGACCAGGCCTTGATTCCAGACAAACAGGCTGTCTCTGTGTTTAATTTTTGTAGTTTTCCTAATGTAATGTGAATAAGAACTAATTTCCTCCAAAAAATACTTCGCAAAAGCTTCTGCTTTTGGCATATGTCCCTTATTTTGCCCTATTCAAATAACCTAACCTTTTTACCAGGGCTGTGGAGTCAGTAGGAAAAATGACCGACTCCTGGAATTTTAATGACTCCGACTTCTTCATAAATATGTAAACATATAAACATTGGTTACAGCTTTTTTTTTTAATATAAAACAAGTAGTAGATGCTACAGATAAAAACTGATGCATAGCAAATTTTTTATATTAATTAGCATTTATTATGAAATGGAAAAACTGACATTAGTAATTTCTAAGAAACAGTAAAACTTCGACAAGATCTTCTTTGTTAGAGGACCATAAATCCGATTTGATAAACTCAGAACTGAGAAGAGTCTTTCCACACTGACTTGAATAAGAAGAAGAGTTACGGCTACTTCCTTTAACTTTTCAGGATAGACTTTTGTAAGTTCTAAAAGAGGTGTTTTGCAAGAGCAATCATATTTACAGTGGATGGACAAAAATATGGAAACACCTTGTGAAATGCATGTTTGAAAAGAAAGCTTGATTTTAATGAAATATGTAGGTGGCCCCAGCGTTTTTGACTACTGACGCAACCTATACAACTTCGTAAATGTGCTAAACAGTTCACTTGTTGGCGGAGTACTGTTATGTGAGGTTGTCATTGCATTATGTCAGAATTAACAGACTTTGAACGTGGGCAAATTGTTGGAGCACGTATGGTAGGTGCTTCCATAAGCAAGGTAGCCGAGGTGTTTAGTGTTTCAAGAGGTACTGTATCGAAGATTTATTCCGCATATTTGAAAAGCGGAAAAACATCATCTGCTAAATCACAGCGCGGACGAAAGTGTGTCTTGAGTGATCGTGACAGACGATCATTAAGGGCAATTGTGACGAAAAATAAGAAGACCACAGCTGCAAAAGTTACTGCTGAAATGAATGTTGTGTTACCGAACCCTGTGAGTACCAAAACAATTAGAAGGGATCTTCATAAACAGGGAATTGCTGGCCGTGCTGCAATTGAGAAGCCACTCATCAGTGATGCTAATGCCCGTAACAGGAAAAGGTGGTGTTTAAGTCATAAAGCCTGGACTAAGAGCAGTGGAAGCGAGTAATATGGTCTGACGAGTCTTCTTTCACATTGTTTCCCACTTCTGGCCGAGTTTACGTCTGGAGAACGCCATCTCAAGCCTATAATACAGACTGCTTGTTGCCAAGAGTGAAACATGGCGGGGTTCTGTTATGGTTTGGGCAGCCATATCGTAGTTTCTCTGCTAGCCCCATGATAACTGTGTCAGGGCACATGACTGCCAAGACTTATGTGAACATTTTGGCCGATCAAGTTCATCCCATGGTACAAACTTTGTTCCCCGATGGTGATGGTGTCTTCCAAGACGACAAAGCCCCTGTTCACACAGCTCACATTGTCCAGGACTGGTTTTCTGAGCACGAGGATGAGTTGTCTCAATCTCCCCTGGCCACCACAGTCACCAGACCTGAATATTATCGAACCTTTGTGGTCTACATTGGAACGGAAAGTGCGTTCTCGTTATCCACCGCCAACATCGTTATCTGAACTTGCCACCGTTTTGCTGGAAGAATGGTATAATATTCCCTTGGCAAACATACAGGAACTGTATTTATCCATTCCGAGAAGACTGCAAGCTGTTTTGGATGCCAACGGGTTTCCTACACCATATTAAGCAAAGAAACATGTTTTTTTAAAGGTGTTTCCATATTTTTGTCCAACCCCTGTATCTATTTCTTCAAAGGCCATGTATAAATCTTGTTTGTATTTTTTCATTTTCATATCTAAAGGTTCTTGGTTCTTTATTTTCATTCGCTTTGCCTTAGCCTTTTCAATATTATCTAAATATTTCTCAAAATCTAATTCATCAGTGGAAGAAGATGATACAGACTCAGTTGCAATATCTGCAGTTTGACTGTCCTGATTTGAATACTCCAGTTGTTCTGAGAATAATTTCATTCTTAACGAAAGTTCATAGATGGCTTTCTTTGCCTTTTTAATTTGTTTGTCATCCAACAAAATTCAGCGTTTTCTATCTACATATATTGAACGCAGCACAATCTTATTGTCCAGCAAACTAGTTTCTCTTTTCTTCTTTGAAGAAATGATTCCTTCTGCAATAAACCCTCCATTTCAGGAAGAACAAACATCACATTCTTCCAGTCTTGCCTCTTGTGAATTCTTTGGAATGTAGCTTTTTTTGTGGCTATATATGGTGTTGAAAGAAGGATTTCCAGTTCTGCAAGTTCATTCCACAGTCTTTCTGTTAGTAAAATATT